GTAACTATTAACTTCCCTTTTCCTGGACCCCCGGGGGTACAACCAAATGTGCCAGGCGCCAGGATGGATACCACAAATTCATTCATTATCATGTTAATTGTTCCTGCACCCACCTAAACATGTGTCCATTATTTTACTTTTTAAAAAAAAACACATATATTTCTTCATTGATTTCAGAGAAGAAGGAGAGAGAGAGAGAGAGAGAGAGAGAGAGAGAGAGAGAGAGAGAGAGAGAGAGAAACAATGATGAGAATCGTTGATTGGCTGCCTCCCGCATGCCCCATACTGGGGATTAAGCCCACAATCCAGGCATGTGCCCTTGGTTGGAATCGAACCTGGGACCCTTCAGTCCACAGGCTGATGCTCTATCCACTGAGCCAAGCCGACTTGGGGCTCATTTTATTTTTTATCCAACCCCCCCTCCCCTCCCCCCACTTTGTTTTATCCCACCTCCTTAATCTATCACCAATGGATTTCATGTAACCCCCCTATGTCCCTCCTTTGATTGCAATGTATAAATACAGATGTAACCCCCATTCTCTGGGGCATTATCTCAATTCGTTGAGGTTCTGCTTCCTGGCATATGTCGACAGTTGGGTTCAAATAAACACACAAATATTCTTTACAGGTTTCAATGTGTTGTTTTTACGTTGCCAAAGCTATTTATAATACATATTAAGGAAATCAATCTTGGAAAAGTTTTCCTGACTTTGGCTATTGACTGTCTATTGACTGTCTAGTATGTGTATGTGTGTGTGTGTGTGTGTGTGTGTGTGTGTGTGTGTGTGAGAGATAGAGATAGAGAGATAGAGAGAGAGAGAGTTTTACATTTGCTTGCAATCAGTTATTAATCTTTTAATTAAAGACTTCAGGGTTTAGCCGAAACTGGTTTGGCTCAGTGGTAGAGCGTCCATCTGCTAATTGAAAGGTCCCAGGTTCGATTCCGATCAAGGGCATGTACATTGGTTGTGGGCACATCCCCGGTGGGGGTGTGCAGGAGGCAGCTGGTTGATGTTTCTCTCTCATCAACATTTCTAGCTCTCTATCCCTCTCTCCTCCTCTCTGTAAAAAATCAATAAAATATAAAAATTTAAAGACTTCAGGGTTTAATGTCATGTTTTAACAAACTAGGATTATTATTTTTAATTCCCATGTTTTCTTTGAGTAGTTTATAGTCTGTCTCTCCCCCCTCCCTCTCCCTCCTCTGTTCTGGAAAGGGTGATCCATCTGGAATTTGCTTTTAGCCACTTTCAAAAATCTTAATGTGAAATCTCATGATTGTGTAAGAAGCTTTATAGTCAGCGGACAATAGTGTGATTTTTGAAGCCAAGTGATTGGGATTCAAATCCTGGCTCTGCCATTTCCACTGTGGACCCAATCAGGGGAGCCATATATTCTCTCTGTGCCTCAGTTTACTCATCTGTAAAATGGGAGATAATAGCATCATGTGAGAATAAAGGGATGTGTCCTATTTTTTAAAATATGTTTTTATAGATTTTAGAGAGAGGGGAAGGGAGAGAGAGACATCCCTTTGTTTTCCCACTTACTTGTGCATGTACTCACTGTTGTTTCTTATATGTGCCCTGACCTGGAATTGAATCCACAAGCTTGGTGTATTGGGAAGATGCTCTAACCCAGTAGTTGGCAAACTCATCAGTCAACAGAGCCAAATATCAACAGTACAACGATTGAAATATCTTTTGGGAGACAAATTTTTTAAACTTAAACTTCTCCTAATGCCACTTCTTCAAAGCATACTTGCCCAGGCCGTGGTATTTTGTGGAAGAGCCACACTCATGGGGCCAAAGAGCCGCATGTGGCTCGCGAGCTGTGGTTTGCCGACCACTGCTCTAACCAAATGAGCAACCAGCCAGGCCAAACTGCACTTTTTTCTGAATATCCTCTTATTGATTTATTTACAGAGAGGAAGGGAGAGAGATAGAGAGTTAGAAACATCTATGAGAGAGAGTCATCGATCAGCTGCCTCTTGCACACCCCCTACTGGGGATGTGCCCGCAACCAAGGTACATGCCCTTGACTGGAATCAAACCCAGAACCTTTCAGTCCCCAAGCCGACGCTCTATCCACTGAGCCAAACCGGTTTCGGCTGAATATCCTCTTGAAACCAGACAACCCATGGGTCCGGGCCGCCTGTCACTGCCTGAGCCATTTCAGCAGAGACAGGGCTGCATCATATATGAGCGTTTATTCCGGTGCCACCAGCAGCACAGGAGAGCAGCAGGCCACCCACAAAACTCTGCTCTGCAAACCCCCACAGACCAGCTGCTTATCAGGTGGGACTAAGATTACTGGGAAAGCAGGGATTACAGGCATGGGGAGGTAGGCTATTCGGGCTGGGGTGGGACTCCATTTTTTTTGGGGGGGAAAGGTTGTTACCGTACTTTTCAGACCATAAGACGCTCCAGACCATAAGACGCACCAGTTTTTAGAGAAGGGAAATGAAGAAAAAAAGATTCTGAAACAAATAGTGTCCTAAAATATTTTATGTGCATTAAAACCCAACATCACAGTCATAAACACATGTAATCAACCCTGTAAAGTAAACAGCAGCATTTAGAACCATTTTAGAGCCGGGCAAGCACACAGAGACCACACAGAGCCGGGCAAGTAAAAAAACTTTTTTTTAAAGTATATGTGTAGGCTATATTTGGACCATAAGACGCAGGGACTTTTTCCCCCCACTTCTGGAGGAAAAAAAGTGCGTCTTATGGTCAGAAAAATACGGTAATTTTTTCATGATAATGGGCAGTTCTTGACTGAAAATGGACCACATTCCAAGGTTGAGGCCCAGGTCCTGGGTGGGGCTACAATCCCAGCCAAGTTCGAATGTCCTTTCTTTTTTCTTTTTTTAAAATATATTTTATTGATTTTGAACAGAGAGGAAGGGAGAGAGATACAGAGTCAGAAACATCGATGAGAGAGAGTCATCGATCAGCTGCCTCCTGCACACTCCCACCGGGGATATGCCCGCAACCAAGGTACATGCCCTTGACCGGAATCGAACCCAGGACCCTTCAGTCCCCAGGCCGACGCTCTATCCATTGAGCCAAACCGGTTTCAGCTCAAATGTCCTTTCTTGAACCAGAACAAGGCAATCATGGTTAACAGAGCATGGTTACTATTTCCCATAACCACAGCTAGTCCCCAATATTCTATTTTTGCCCCTAACACTCTCAGCACAGACAATTGTAAGTGACTGTGCTTCAGTAACATTTCTCAGTGCTCTACCTCAGTCATTTCATCCTCATAACAACCCCAGCGGATAGATGGGGACGTGGAGGCCCAGGGTCTCTAAGTTCCTTCCTGGGGATCTTTCCTTCCTGGGTGGGCTTAGAGCCCACACTCTGTCCACTTCCTGTTCTGGCCTCAGCCTCCAGCTCGCCCTCCCCCCTGCCACTGCTGGAGGAGGAGTTCCCAGTGGGCTTCATCTTAACTGGCTTCTAAGTACAGACTGAATCATGGAGGCCAAGCCAGCACCCCAGATTCCCAGAACTGGTCAATCCTGTCCTGGCGGGTAAGACAGGGGCAGGGGAGGACTGCAGGCAATCAGGGAAGGCTTTTGGGAAGAGGGTGCTCTGGGAAGAGGTGTGACTGGAGAGGGGAGAGGAGCCCGAGAAAGGGGTAGCCAAGGTGGGGGGACATGGCATTGGGATAGATGAGCCTCCTGTGGCTGCCACTGACCACAAATCTTTCCTCCTGCTTTCCCCCCCACGAGGCACACACTCAACTATAAAGTTGGTGATGGATCGTGGGAAGGTGTCTCCTTAGTGGGAATGTTGAACTCCTATTCATCTGCCAAAGCCCTAGCTCCAGTGCCTACCAGTCTGGGAGGCCATGCCCACATACTGGCCTTTCCCAGTCTGGGTTCTCTCTTCCTACTTAAGCCCTGACCTCATAGGCCTGGGAGTGTCTGTGTCCAACTCTGTATCCCTCACCCTCAACTGGGAGACCCTTCAGGGCAGGGCCCTCGGTTGTGATGTCTCTGGTGCTTGGCATTGCCCAGCCCAGCACAGAGAAGATGCTTGCTGAGTGTGTCTTGAAGGAAATAAGGAAATAAATGAGTAAGCGATGAATGGAATTCTCAGTCACTTGTTTCCCTCTGCCTACGCCCCTCCAGTGTTACCCCGCCCTCAGGGTAAAAGCCCAAGTTCTCCCCAAGGCCCAGGTGGCTCTGTAAGACCTGCCCCTCATCACCTCCCTGACCTCACCTCTTCCCTCTCTCCCCCTTGCTCCCTCCCTCTGCTCAGCCACCAGGGCCCCTGTCTTTCCTCTAACCACCAGGCATGACCCTGCCCCAGGGCCTTTGCATCCCGCTGCCTCCTCTGTCTGGTCTGCAGCACTCTGATCCTTTGCATGACTGACTCACTGCTCTCACCTTCAGAAGTCAATTCAAATGCCACCTCCTCAGAGAGATCTCTCTTAACCCAGATCTCTAGGAGAATCACCAACCTTGCTTCCCTTCCTTCTTTTCCCCTCCCTAGTCCTTCCCAGGATAGGGTGCATTGTGGATCTTTTTTTAAAAAATATATTTTATTGATTTAAAAAATATATATTTTTTTATTCATTTTTTATAGAGAGGAAGGGAGAGGTGAGAGATAGAGAGCTAGAAACATCGATTAGAGAGAGACATCCACCAGCTGCCTCTTGCACACCCCCTACTGGAAATGTGTCCGCAACCAAGGTACATGCCCTTGACCGGAATCAAAACCGGGACCCTTCAGTCCGCAGGCCAACGCTCTATCCACTGAGCCAGACCGGTTTCGGGACACTGTGTATCTTTAAGATTTGGGGGAGAAAGTCTCTGACTTGGGATTTGTTCGCAGTTATCCAGGGCGCTTCCAGCAGGCACTTAATACATGTGTGCATGAACATGAACAGAAAGGGGTCTGCCCCGCCCTCCAGGGCCCTCCCTCGGGCACAGCGGGCGGGGCCGGCGGGCGGGGCGGGCGGGGGCGGGCGGGGGCGGGCTGCCAGTCCAGTCGGGCGGGTGCGCTGGGCACGCGGGGCCGGGGCCGGGCCGGGGCCAGGGCCGGGGCCGGGCGGGAGCGCCCGGCGGGCGCCATGGAGGGGCTTCGGCGGGGCCTGTCGCGCTGGAAGCGCTACCACATCAAAGTGCACCTGGCGGACGAGGCGCTGCTGCTGCCGCTCACCGTGCGGCCGCGCGACACGCTCAGCGACCTGCGCGCCCAGCTGGTGGGCCAGGGCGTGAGCTCCTGGAAGCGCACCTTCTACTACAACGCGCGGCCGCTGGACGACCACCAGACGGTGCGCGACGTGCGCCTGCAGGACGGCTCGGTGCTGCTGCTCGTCAGCGACCCCAGGTGGCGGCCCGGAGGGCGGGCGGGCGGGGGTCCCGGGTGGGAGCGGCCTGGCTGGAGAGGAAGGCAGGCAGGGGGCCGGAGGGCTGGTGGGGTGGGGGATGGGGATGCGGCAGGGCTGGGGGAGAAGAGTGCGGGTAGGAGGGACCTGGGCGGGCGGGTAGACTAAGGTCCTTCCCCACCCCTGGGACGCTTTCTCCCCGGCCCCAGCTCTGCCCTGATGGGCACCGGCTGTAACAGGAATGGAGAGATGCCAGGAGGGCAGCTGGATGCCTCTGCCTGCTTCCCTCTTTTCTCTCTCGCTGTCTCTGGCCTCCCTTCCCTTTCTTTGTCTCCCCTCTCTCCCTCTCTCTGCAGTGCTGTCCTATTTATTCCACTTCCTATCATTCTTTCTGCCTCCCTATGGCTCGGCCCATTTCTGTCTGTCCATTCTGTCTCTGCTCTTTTCTCTGTCTCTTCCCTTCTGTCTCTCTCGGTGCATTTCTGTCTCTATTTGGCTCTGTCACTGTCTTTCTGAGTCTCTGGTCCTTCCCTCTTTATCCATCTCTCCAGTACACCTGCCAACCCATATTCCCATCCTGACACTGGCTGCCTGCACTCTGCCCTGGCCATCTGGAGTCCTGGCCAGGGTGACCCACAGGGTCTGCAGAGAAGGGCTTCTGGGCCGCGGGGAGAGCACACACGGAGGCCTGGGGCTGTGCTCAAGGTGTGTGTGTGGGGGAGGAAGGATCTTAGGGGCAGGGGGAGACGATGGGATGGTGACGGATGGGGTTTGGGGTCTTGCGCTGGGAGAGGGTGTTCCTGGCAGTGCACCTTCTACAAGGTCTGGAAGCTGGACAAGCCCAGACATCACACACCATACTCATCGTTCAATACACAATAAGCATTTATTGAGTGTCTACTGTGTGCCAGGCCATGTGCTGGGCCCTGGAACCCAGTGGGGACTCAGACTAGGCCTGCCCTCACTGAACAGACATGAACCCAAATAAACATATGATTAATGTCAGATTGGAATGTTTTACACCTTCCTCCTTCCCTCCCTCAGCTCCTTCAGGTCTTTGTTCAGATATATACATCCTGGCAGAGATACACACACACACACACACACACACACACACACGCACATACACACACACACGCACACGCACATACACACACACACACACGCACGCACACAGGTACATATATATAATTCAGAGAGGAAGGGAGAGGGAGAGAAAGATAAACATCAATGATGAGAGAGAATCACTGACCGCTGCCTCTTACACTCCCCTTTACTGGGGTTCGCAACCCTGGCATGTGCCCTGACCGTGAACTTCTGGTTCATGGGTCAATGCTCAACCACTGGGCCACACCAGCCAGGCCCCATCCCTGCTTTTATCTTTCTCTCACTTCTCTATATTTTTCAATTGTTTTTTACCTCATCTCCCCCAGCAGACTGTAAACTTCATGAGGGCATTGTTGTTCATCCTATTCACTGTTGTGTTCACAGTTCAGTGCCTGCACATAGTAGGTGCTCAATAAATATTTGTGGAAGGTATTGTCTGGGGGTGAGGAAAGGGCTGCTCAGAACATTTTCCTGGAGCCCTAGCAGTTCCTAGATGTGGAGGAGAAGGTCTCTGACGTGGGGGTAAGTCCTGGCAGGTGTGGGAAGATGCATCAGCCAGAGACTGAGCAGATAGGTGAGCCTTTGAGAGCCGAGGTGAGGACTGTGTTTGGCCACAATCTGTGTCTTTCTGTCGCCCTCCTGCAGGTAGCCCGGGTTGGAGGAGGTGGAGCCATGACCGAGGGGCCGAAGATGCTGGCTGAAGGAGCAGGCTGGGTGGGGGACACTTCAGGAGGTAAGTCATTCCAGGGACCTTACCTATTGTGAGGACCACAGTTGGGGGAAATGAGGCCCAGAGAGGAGAAGGGACTCAACTCTTTTGAGTGTCATCCCCCAACCGACTTGAAACCCCTGCATTGGGCAAGGACACTGTCCTTCCTTCTCACTCATCTTTAGACCAACCGCGCTGCCCCGAACAGGAATGATGTTCCCAGACTTGCTGTGTGGCCTTGGGTGAATGACTGCCTCTCTGGGCCGTTACCTGCCTCCTCACCTTGTCCTCTTGGCCTGAATTCCTGTGGCTCCCCCCAGCCAGGCCCCTCTAGGAATGGCTGGCTCCCTGTGGCCACAGGGCCTCCTGTCCCTCCGGGGGCACCAGCACGTGGGGAAGGAGGGAATGGCTGCAGGCGTTGCTGTCCACACCCGTCGGCAGGGGATGTCAGGGAAAGGGAAGAGGCAAACCTGGCCAGAGAGCTGGTGTTTCATGCTCCTAAAGGCCTGAAGTGAGATTGGCTTATCCGCCCCTCCTGCTCTTCTAGGTTCTGGGCTCCGAGGGTGGACAGGGCAACACTGCCCTGACCAGCTGATGCCCACTGCTGGGGACACTCCTGATGGAGCTCCACTCCCTGACTCTGAACTAGGACATTGTCACCCCAGCTCAGCCAATCAGCTCAGCCCATCAGCTCAGCCCATCAGGTTTACTGTGTGACCCTGAGGCCCTGCTGCAGGAACCACGGTGCCAGCGTGGGCAGCCAAGGGATATCACATGAAGAGAAGCACAGAGGGGAGAGGAGAGGAAAGAGGCAGCACCACTCCCACCTCGTACGTTCTCGTGGCCACACTTTGCCCAGAGGCACCTTCCACAGCCCTCTCTGCAGCTCCAGTCCACCTGGAACTCCAGCCTCCTGCAGGAAGTCTCAGAAGCCCTCCTGCCCGGCCAGAGAGCACCGCATCCTCTTGTGGGGCCCACAAGCCCTCTACTGTGATCAGCCTTGGCTGTGGGGAACAGCCAGTCGCTCAGGAAATCTCAAATGACTGAAGGTGGAGACTGAGGGACCCAGCCCTCTCCCAGTTCTCCAGTGTCGTTCTGTGCTCTATCCTTTTCCCCAAATACCTCCTCTCATTGCATCTGTGCCCTTTCCCCTGGAGTGCCCTCCCTTAATGCCTTGCCCCCTGTTTGCTGCATGGGGTTTCCTGGTTGGGTCTGAAGGGCTCTGGCAGAGATCTGGGGGCCTCTGTGCCTGGTAGAGGGGACAGGTCCAATTTAATGCAAATTACATGCAAATCACCACCCATTTCTTAAGCCCGGACAGCTCTGGCATGTTGTGAAATAATAATGTTGGACCTGTCCCCTTCCATTCCACTCATTTTTATTGTGACAATGAAGCACGTTTTTGCGAAGTCCCAGATGCTGAAAAACAACTCCTTAAGGTTGGCTGCAGCCGCTCACCCTGCTTTCCACTCCGAGCCTTGTGCCATGGGTGGTAATTTTGAGGACATTCCAGGCAGTGTGTTATGGGAATTCTGGGTACAAGACCCCCCAGATCGAACGCGGAGCCTTGGTTGGATCTCTAACCTGCAGCCGCGTGGAGTCTGGTCCTTTGCGCAGACCTGGAGGCTGATTGGGGGTGGAGGGTCCGGCCGTGTGCGTGTGGTGTGGCGTTCACGCTCCAGCTGCTGGCCTGGCGCCGGGAAGAGGCACGGGAGCCTGGGAAGAAATAATGTTTTAATTAAGAAAGAGTCATGTTGGCCACAAGGCCCTGAGCGGAGACAGGTGGTTAAGAAATCATGGCTGTGGGGACAGTGTGCTCAGACCACGTTTGCCTGTTGCAGGGCGGGCACCAGGCCTGCAGGCACGTCTCCTAGGAGGTGCAGTGCTGTGACCCAGGTTGTCCCTCAGAGGTGGTTTCCAAGCACCCAGTGGGTGTGCAGTGGGGGAGGCAGCCAGGCTTGGGCTTCTCTCCCTGGGTCACATGCATGGGCCTGTTGGGGCCCAGAGACCCCTCCTTCCAGGGCCCAGCAGAGAGGTAGGGCTTTTTAATAATCATCCCAGCTCAGTCCCTCCCTGTCAGGGTCTGTACCACATACTTATGGGGCCAACCATGATGTTTAACCGCGGTGGTGGCTGTAATTACGGCCCATTTTACAGAGGGGGTGTCTGAGATCACTACCCTCCCCTCCAGGCTGCTGCTCCAGCAGCCCCTGAACTGAGGGGTCCTCAGCCCAAGCGGGGGTCCCTGGTGAGGATGGGGGAGAGTTTCCTGTGTGCATATGGGATGGGGGTGGGGAAAAGCACTTTGGGAAGATTTTCATGGTTAACAAACACCATGCAAATTTAATGCAAATGACATGCAAATCACCACCCATTTCTTAAGCCTGGACAGCTCTGGCACGTTGTGAAATAATAATGTTGGACCTGTCCCTTGGTGGGGGTCTGGAGGCGAGATACAAAGCCTTCTCCTTCTTTCCTCCTCCCTTTCCCTTTCCTTCTTTTTTCCTCCCTTCCCTTCACCTTTTCTTCCTTTCTTTCCTCCCAACCTTCAGTTTCTCTCCCTCCTTTCCTTCCTTCACATTATTTGTTGAAGACCCCTCCCCCCCAGTCCTGAGATGAACACAAACAGCAAAAGTGGCTTCTGGTGTTACTATTTTCCAGATGGGGAAACTGAGGCACAGGCCTGGCCTGAGGTCCCAGAGCCATGTTGCGGAGAGTGTTCCCGTCAAGTGTCCTTATCGGCCAAAGTGGCGGGTACCTATGACCCAAGGAGAAGAGCTGACAGTGGCGGGACAGGCTCACGGGTTTCTTGGTCTTAAATGGCAGGCTGCTAAGCCTGGATCTGAAGTCTCGCACTGACTTGCCCATTCCTCCAGTCCTTCTTCTCCTCCCACTCAATCTTCATATTCCTTGAATTCTGGACACAACCGTCTGCTCCATTTGCATGTCTTTCCTTCTCTGTTTGGCAAGCTTCTACTTATCCTTTAAAAGCCCAGCTCCAATGCCCCTTCTTCATGAAGCCGTTTCTGATCCTCTGAGAAGAGCCTCTATTCCCCTCTGGGCTTCTGTGGCCCCTGGTCTCTTTCTGGTCCGGCCATGACCACCGGAGCCAGCAGTGTCACTGAACACCCTGACAGCTCAGCCCTGGCCTGGAAATGTCACACTTCCAGTCCTTTGCATGTTCTCTTCCCAGAATGCCCTTTTCAGTCTTTTGCACCTGGCACACCCCTAAATTTTCAATGCCCACCACGAATGTGCCACCTCCATGTGGGCTCTGCCGCTCTCTCCCAGACCACACCTGGGTCCTGCAGCCTCCGCCCTCTTTCCGGCCCACGCCTGCCCCTTGGAACCGGGAGGTCTGGGGAGCTGCCTCTGGGGACCTGGGGTCACCCAGGTTGGGACTGGGTACAGAGCGGCTGGCTGTGTGGAATGTGTACTGATGAAAGATTAAGTGTTTGAAAACAAAATCAAATTCAAACCTCATAGCCAGCGCTTCCTTCACCCTTTCCTCTTGCTCTCGTCCAGGCCTTTGCATAAGCTGTGTCCTGTGCCAGGAATGCCTTTCCCCTTGAATCCTCTTCTGGGGGACCCTAAGCCAAGCACCTCCCCTCTCTGGGCTGAGAAACTGGGGAGCCCGCCCCCCACCCCAGGGCCTTTCAGGCTTCTGGCTCCACCCCAGGAGCAAGTCTGGGCTGTGAGGAGTTTCGGGTGAGACTTGGCAGCCACTTCCCTCTCTGGGCCCACGGCGGCGTCCCAGGGAGGAGCCACCTCCTGCCTCAGCTGCCCACCCAGTCTGCGCTCTCAGAATGTCAAGGGGCATTTTCCTGGGCAAGTAAATCCAGACAATTCCCAGAGGAGGCACCTGTGGCTTCGCTAGAAACTACATTTACCCGACCTCCCGCTTCAATCCTGTTCATTCTCATATTTCTCTCTCTCTCTCTCTCTCTCTCTCTCTCTCTCTCTCTCTCTCTCTCTCTCCCTCCCTCCCTCCCTCCCTCCCTCCCTCCCTCCCTCCCTCTCTCTCTCTCTTTCTTCTTGAACTCAGTTAAAAGGACCCCCTTTTTTCCTGATGCCCTGAATGTGACCGCGGGCATTTTCAAAAGCTGCTGGGGCCATGCAATTTGAATTACTTGAATGAGCACCACGAGTTTACACGGATGGCGTGGTGGTCAGGACACCCAGCCGTGGGCCCTCCTGCGCTACAGAGTCGGGGCCGCTCCTGGTACCCCAGTCACAGACTTCCTCTGATGACCTTGGGTGGTTTTTGTCCCTCTCTGGGCCTCAGTTTCCCCACCACCAGAGGAGGATGGTGTTAGGGTGGCGGGGCCAGGAGCTACTCTCATGGCATAAGCTGTTGGCAGAGAGAGCCTGACTCATCCCCGTGTCCAAATGCGTTTGAAAGAATCCTCCAAGGGGAAAACAGTTGTAAGAAAAAAAAAAATTAAATAAATAAAAAAGTCACAGAGCTGACCACCCAGCCTGCCATCTGACTCACCTGGGAGGAAACAGCCCCCCTGCCATCCCCCGCAGCATCCGGGAAACTTGCCTGTCTCTCCTCACTGTGGCCCGGCCCATCCCCTGCGGCCTCCCTGTGCGGGGCTCAGGCCTGGCCTGAGGAAGCACTGACCTCAGCCTTCTGTTCTAAGCTCCAGACCCACCAGACCCCTGGCTGGGGTCCCACTCTTCCTGGCTCCAGGCACTTGCATGTGCTGTTTCTAAGTGTGGAGTTCCCTCTCCTCACCCCTCATCTTTCACGCTCCCACTTGCAGGTTCATTGTCATTTCCTTGGGGAGGCCCTGAACAAGTCTCCCGTTTTGCATACTCACAACATCCTGTTCTTTTCCTTTGTGGCATTAGTTATTTAGGTTGTTAATCATTCAATGTATGTTTTTCTCTGCTAGCCTGTGGGCATGGTGAAGGCTGGGAA